CCCCCCCCCCCCTCCCAGCCCTCCACTCAGCCACCACCGCCATAGTCACAACCCTAGAACTCTGGCATGTGCCGCCTCATCGGGACCGTCTTCTCGTTCATCTGGAACAGCTGCGAGCGGCGGACCCACGCCTCGCACTCGGCCTTGCCGCTGTCGCGCGGCCGCGGCGTCGCCTGGGGCACCGCGCCGCCGACATCGGTCGCGGCCCGCACCGGGCCCGGCCGGAACGCCTTGTACTGCTTGTTGCCGCCGTCGACGGGGCTGGCGACGGCGTACGTCAGGTCACCGAACGAGCCCAGCGGCGTCACGGGCGAAGGGTGGTTTGTTGCCGGCGAGCACACGCCCCCATCGAGCGGCGGGCACGCGTCCGCGGGCGGCGCCGACGAGGCCTCGGACACGGCGCTGTGGCGCAGGCTGCTGCTGCTGCTGCTGTCGTTGTCGTAGTCGTAGTCGTCGTCGTAGATGTCCTCCTCGGCGCTGCTGCCCTCGAGCTCGTACACCGCCTCGACCGGGCTGGTGTGGCGTCGCGTCACGGGCTTGGCCGCCGGCGGTGGCGCTGGTGCCATCGACACGGGGAGGACCGGGGGCGGGCCGGCAAAGATGGCCGACAGGTTCGGCCCCCTATCGATCTTGGGCAGGCAGATGGGCGACTCCTCGGACGAGGACGACGGCCTGCACCCCGGCGACCCGAGCTGCGGCGTGAGGCTGCCGATGTCCTTGGTCGTGAGGTTGCTGCACCACGCCGCCGGCGGCAGCGCCTCCACCGCGCTCCGCGCGACCGCCGTCGTTGTCGTCGGGGCGGCCGCGGCGGCGCCCTCCCAGGCCTTGGAGCCCCACACCGTCACGGGCCGCGGCGGCAGCCCGACCGCCTCCTCGGCGATGGGGCTGGGCGGCGCCTGCGAGACGCTGCGGAGGCGGCCGCCCGTCGGGTTCCAGACCCGCTTCACGTTCTTTTGCGGCACCTTTGGGATCTGCAGCATCAGGCCCTTTAAGGGATCCGTCGTCATCGTCGTCGCGCTCGTGGTGGTGGCCGTGGTTGTGGTAGGGGCTGCCGTCGTCGCGCCAGATGAGGATGACGGCCTGGGTGGAAGCTGTGCGGGGACCGCCGACGATGCCGCGGGGGTGACCGCAACAGGGGCCGAGACGCTGCGCTGCTGGGCGGCAGCGGCCGCCTCCTCCTCGCACGCGGAGAGCGGCGACGGCTGCTGCGGACTGAACACCCTCGACGACGGCCTGCTGGCCCGCGTCCTGCGCACGATGTTGCTCCTGAACTTGTGGTTGTCCGTGTCGGCGCTGCTGGGGCTGGAGGGTGCGGGGGTTATGGGAGTGACGGGGCTGGGAGTGACGGGACTGGAGGCGGCAGTGGCGGCGGGGCTGGCGGTGAGCGGGGACGAGAAGATGGCAATGTCGTTGGGGTCCGCGAACAGAGCCTGCAGGCCCGTCACGGCGCCCGCGCTGCTGCTAGCCTGGGTCGGCCTGCCGGACCACGCCTGCTGCTGCTGCTGCTCGCTGCCGCCCGGGGTGGCGGGGGCCGAGGTGACGACGGCCATGTCGCCGAGGATGCTGAGGCCACTGATGCTCGAGCCGCTCGACGACGTGCCGTCGGTGATGGACCCGTGCATAGACTCGAGCCTGACCGGGTGCGACGCCAGCGGGTCCGTCGTGATCATCGGCATCGTGTACGACCTTACCACCGACGGCCGGAACGGCAGCGGTCTGTCGCCTGGCCTCTCCAGCACGGGTTCTTCATGGCGGCCGGCGTTAGCTTGGGCGTCTTGAAGCTTTAGAGGATTGCAGAGGGCCTTGGGATGGCGTGGGAGACGAGAGAGACTGGTCAAAGCCACCTCATAGAAAGAACGAAAAAAAAGTCGAAAACCTACCTCCAAGAGTGGACTGCCGCTTGTTCTTCTTGCCGCCCAGAAGGGACTGGAGCATGCTGAACCTCTGCCGAGGCTCTGCCTTGGTCTTGGGGCCCATTTTTGGATGTGTTTGTGTGTATATGGTGTGGTGTCTATGCTGTGTGTGGTATTTGCTTCTCGACTGTGTATGGCAGGGAAATGCCTTGTGTCGTACCTGCAGGATGAGGAGCGAGCTAGCAGGAAGGGGGCTGCTCGCTGTTTTGCTTGAAACAAAACGAAAAGATAAAAAAAAAGCGACGAGGATTGTGTGCGGCTGTATCTTGGGGGCGTTCCAGTTCTTCTATATGAAGCTGAGTCAGGTCCGTGGTCGTGCTAGGGATGCCACCTGCTGCTGGTTTCACACTGGGAATTATGACGACGGGGAAAGGAGCGCGGTAATCACCCTAATAACATTCCCTCGCTGGCAGGGCCACCATGAATAGCGGAGGGCAGGGCGGGCTGTCAAAAAAAAAAAAAAAAAAAAAAGCTAGCCAGTGGTTGGTTCCCGACTTACGAGTAGAACGCCAGTCGATTCGCGCCAGGAAGCGAGCTCTGGCCACCGCAACTGGCGGCCCATCCATCCACCACACGTGCCAAGTTGGGCCTCTACCTGACAAGGCAAGAGAGCAAGGAAAGACGAAAACAAAAAATGGCAAGGGCAAAGGTGTAGTTGCCAGCCTGTGCAGCGCGTTTCGACCAAACAGAATCACGCCCGCAAGCGGGAACGCAGGGCGTGAGGGGGAAACAGTCGCTTTGCTGCAGGTCCCGCGCGGGTCTGTAGCCCAAAATAGGATTCACTTGTAAACAAGTCATGGACAGCGGGTAGTGGTGGTGGGTGGTGATGGTCATGCAGCCTGCGGTATTACATGGACAGGGCTGTGTCTGGCCGTGGGTGTGAGGAGTGAAGGCCGATCCTCTGACACGTCCTTCTCAGTCTCCCCTCTTGGGAGCATTCCCGGGTCTGTAAGCCACGCTAGATGGGCTAGAAACTCGCTTCCGGGCTTCTGGTCTTGCGATACCCATGAATTCCTCCGCCGGAGCCGTGGGCCGGTGAACGCGTTGCTCTCCACCATGACAAGACCCCCTGCCCAGTCCTTCCCAACAGGCAACTACAGAATGGGCGGATGGCTTTGACAGTCCGACCGATGCGATCTAAACCCCACAGGGGGGCAAATAGGTTAGGCTGGGTTTGTCTGATGATGATCGATGGAGGCGCAGCAGGAAGCAGAGGAATGGTCCCACGATCCATGCGATGCGGTGGGGTTCTTTTGCCTTGGGGTGGGATCGGCTCCAAATGGCGGAATGGGGCGGGATTGTGGGATGCGATGGATTTTCTGCTTCTAGTCAAGAAAGAAGGAGAAAACACCGCCCAACCCGCAAGAACAAATCAGAAGAGGGCACACATTGACATCGGCCAGGCAAAAACCCGCCCTGGCGCATATGCACAGGCAGCCCGCAGATGAGCTGGCACCCGCATAACGCGCCCACTGCCCGATGCGGGACCAGGCGACTCATTTCCTGTCTACCTGCCCTCGCGGCGTTTGTGCATCGTTCAATGTCTTCCTGCTGGAGGATCTTTTTATGTTTTGTTTCTGCCTTGTTTTGCCTTCAGCCGCCCAGCCATTTTTCCCATGATCCTCCAACGCCCCCGGACTCAGGACCATTGAGGTTCCCAGCGGTGACATGGGGGGTCATCCATGGGCGCCAGCCTTCCCTGCTCTGCCCACAGTGGGGCAGGGGGGCGGGGGGTTACACCGCAAAATCAGGGGTCCTTCCCTCAGCGGCCACGACAGCGACCAGGGGTCACAGAGAAGCCTGAAAACCAACAGCCAGCCCGCAGGCTGGCCTGTGCTTGCTTCTGCATTCGCATACAGTACGCCCGACGCGGTTCCAAGCAGCCGGTTGCTCGAGCAGCCGCTCAGGGGAGGATGGAGGCCTAACGGGCTAATTCAGGTCCCCCTCGCTAGCCTGCCGCTAGGCGCCGCCAGCCAAGACGGGTGATGCAGAAGGGGAAACAACAAGCAAAAATCTGGCTTTCAGTATTGCATTTCATATAGCCTGGCGCGGTGATGTGATATGTCATGGTGGACTGGCACTCCCAAGATTCCGTCCCGCCGCTGCATGGCCCTCAAGAGTTTTGAAATTACCAACAAGCCTGCGCTCCAGAGAACAGAAGTGTTTCCGTCTACGAAACAATCATCTAACCCCCCGTGAGTCAAATCCGCTCCGTTGCCGGGGCCAGCAAGGTTCTGGAAGGATTGTACGCCTCCCCCTGCTCGTTCCCAACCTTGACTAGTCCGGGGCACACGACGAGGTGGCCCTTGCCCTGCCCTGGCTGACCTTCGGCGACTTGCCGCAGGCAGAACTCTCCCGGCTGGGAGAGCAGCAGGTATCCAAACTTTGCCCACTCCATCAGGAGGTCGTGCAGGTGGATCTGCTGCTGGCCTGATCCTTGCGGGTTTACAAAGATATCAAGGAGCTTGTTGAGAGCCACTGCCAGCTTATTTACCTTATCACCGACCATGGCCTCTGTCGGAACCAATGTGCTCCTGTCGGACCTATTGGGGTGGATGAGAAACATGGACATTTGCCGCCATCGTGTAAGAGCAGTAGAAACGGCTTTTGAAGAGAGCAACGTCAGTAACTAAGTAAACACTGGCCGCGTGGGAAACGGTAGATAGAATGCGTGAGCAGCACCGACATACCTTTTGGACTGCCCCGGTCCTTTTCTGTTGGTGCCATCTCCTTCACAAAGAGACGTAACGACGATGGTAGCAGTGAATAGTTGGTCGTTGAGCCGAGGGCCACGCTCTGCGACATGGCGCTGGCGATAATGTGCCTCAACGCCGCATGCCGTGTTTTTGGCTTCACTGCAAGAGTGACCACCTGCGCCGGGGTCGGCTCGGATGGTTCCTTGCCCAGCCCCAGGTCCACGAGAGCGCATTGGAGCTCGTCGCGGACGGCAGTCGACGGTTGCATGCGGCCTAGATGGTAATAGTTTTCGACGTGCATCTGAATAAGGTGATCCAGAGCCTGCAGCTCCGACGCGATGGCCTGGTCCGGCGCCGGTGAAAGCAGGAACTGGTCTAGCCGGAGCGGGTCTGATGCAGTGGCTGACGCTGGATGCGCTGCTTGCGCCGATGCCGCTCTGACCACTACAGCCAATGGCGAAAGGATGGATGACGACGCGGAAGAAGCGGACGAAGGCTGACGAGCGGGCGCGGATTTGGCCGCAGGCGCTGCCGACATCCCCGCGCCGTCCTTGTTGCCGATGTGCTCGACGACTCCTGACCGGCGCCAGGAAGAGGAGGAGGCGGCGGGCGCGGTTTCGCTCTCGGCTCTCCTGTGTTTTCTCCTGAAGAAGAACATGGCCACCAGGGCGCCCAGTGCAAATCCGAGCAATACCGCGCCGAGCGTAATGCCGGCCACGGCCCCGCTACCAAGGCCCGGTCTACTGGCAGCCGCGCCGCCGTCGGCCGCGCCTAGGGCGTTTGTCAGTCCAGCAATGCCACTTGGGGTGGTGGAGTTGGTGTAGGAGCCACTGGTGGAGTTGGCTATGCTGCTGCTAGCGGTGCTTGATGATGATAGGGAGGATGGCTTGATGTCAGCTGCAGGCGCCCAAGTCTTTGCAGGTGGAGGAGCTGTCGATGTCTGCCGGGGCTTGTTCTCGGATGCGGGCGGAGGAGGTGCAGGTGACGGCGGGGCACGTGACGATGGGGGCGAAGGAGGCGGCGGTGCAGGAGAGTCTGAAGATGGTGGTGATGGCGGTGGTGTCGGTTTCACATCCTCGGCTGCTCCTGGTGCTGGTGTAGACTCTCTAGGCGGAGGCTTGGAAGGCTCGCCCGCCGATGAGGGGCCCGCTGCCATGCCAGTCAACGCAGCTGCGTAGGGCGTCGGAATATCTAGCAGGTGATACAGTAGAAGCCACGGCTGCGCCAGCAACGGCAGGATCTTGCGAAAGTCATGGAGGCGCACGAAGCATTGACACTGGCAAGTAGGGAGGTGTATGAAGCGCCGCGGTAGACGACATGCGGCGGGAACACCATGTTTGATGGTTGGCTGCTCTGATATCAGCTGCAACGCTGCGCCAGACCCTGTCAGGCGCCTGCACGCCCCTCCCACCAACGAGCCAAGGTCATGGCCACACCCCGGTCCTTCATCTTATTCCGGGTAAAACGAGCAGGGCGCGTTAGCGTGGGCTTGTGAATCGAGCGATGTGCGGGTGCAAGAAACCGCAGCGCCCGGCTCCGGTCGGAGCATATTCCTGCTTGCTGGTAGTTGAAAATGCATAATACAGAGACGCATCGATGCTAGACATGCGGGATCCGTCGGCAGGCTGCTGGTGGCTGTGCCGACCATCAGACGAACAGGTCACAGACAGGATCGGAACAAAAAACGGTGCTGACATCCAATCGCTTGCGCAGGGCGGTCAGGCCACTGGCGCGTGTTTTTCAGCCGGGTTTCCATGGCTCAACCCAAAGAGCGGAAAGCAGGGATGCAAGAATCCATTTGGCTGCATCGAGGAGCCGCCCACGTCGAGAAAATGCTCGCGCCCCGCCCAGTGCAGACGGAGTGGGGCTCTGCATGGAGTGGCTGTTGGCGTTCGCGGCAGTGCTCTTTGGAGACAATCGGGGTCCGCCCCACCTGATGTAACGCTAGCCGCATCAAGGGAGGGGTAGGCTTCACCCTCCTCAAGCGTAATTCGACGACGCCACGACCAACACGCTCCTTGCAGGGGCTCTTTGTCGGGTCGTGACAGCTCATTTTGGCCCCCAAAAAAAAAGCGCTCGATTGCGTGGCTGTGCTTGTGCTGTGTTTGTCTAATTGTGCTCTGCACACGCCTGGCATGCGCTGAAAAGGGCTGTTTTCCACACAGCGCTATAATTAATTACCTTACGTCTGCAATTCTTGTAGATGCTGAACCAAAGAGTCCGCATCCTGAAAAGGGGAAAAGGGGCCCCAGGGAGCAGCCCGGGGTGGGATGCCAAATGAGATAATCCCCGGAAAAGGATCGATATTGCCGAACCAGTGGCAGCCCCATCTGTCATCCTTTCTGGAGCCTGGCCAAGCAAGCGTGCAGCACCGCCCGCCTCCACAGCGTCGGGCTCTAGATCCGACGGTCCCAGTTTTTTGTTTTGACGCCTGTCATGGTCCAGCGTGGGCAGGCTGCAGGGCACTGCTCAGCTATGTATGCATGTCCTGTCGGGTGCTGTTTCTCTGCCTCCGACTTCCAATCCTGCTGCAGGCTTCTGCAGCCACTTTTTGCCGCATCACGTCTTCCTTCTGCTTGGTTTCCTGGATCCAAGTACGCGTAAACAGAAGAATATGGATGATAGGCCCGATATTCTGGTCGCCATCGACTTTGGGACCACCTACACCGGTAGGTTGCATCTCCCGCCGCTGGGCTGCGCCATCGATTTGCCGACGTGTGGTGAGGCACAGTAGTCTAATCGCAAAACTCGGGAATTTTCCCCCCGCGCCCGCCGCTCGCTTCAGGTGTCGGATGGGCCCGGCCCCAGCAGGCAGAGGCGCTGCAAACCCCCATCCAGGTCATCCACAACTGGCCCGGAGCCTCGGCAAAGAACGAGCAAAAGGTGCAAACATGTCTCGTCTACAACCCTGAGAAGCACGTGTCGTCTTGGGGCTTCCTCTGTGAAGATGATGTCGAGGAAGAAGGCGATGCCGGACAAGTAGGCGATGGCGAAAAGGTGAGCCCCAACGGCGACAAGACCACCGATGCTGCCGCCGGCAACGACGCCGCTGCAGGACCGTCTGCCAAGAAAAAGGACCGCCGGGAGTTCTTCAAGATCTTCCTCGACAAGGCCACGCTGCTCGAGGCCCAGAAGCAGGGCATCACGGCCGCGCCAGAGTCTCCCGAGGACGCCCGCTTGCTGGCCTCGGACTACCTGCGGCAGATCTACACTCACGTCAAGGAGACGGTCGAGTCGCAGGCTGGGCTGTGCGGCACGGGCGGTTGGGCCGGGCTGGCGGTCGAGTTCATCTTCAGCGTGCCGACGACGTGGCGGTCGCAGGAGATCGTCAACACCTTCAAGGACGTCATCAAGGACGCCGGCTTCGGCACGGGCGGGCCCAAGCACACGGCCGCCGTCGACCTCACCGAGTCCGAGGCCGCCGCCGTGGCCACGGTCAAGAACACGGCCGTCGACTTCGTCAAGGGCGACATCTTCATGTCGGTCGACGCCGGCGGCGGCACCACCGACTTTGCCGTCATGCAGGTCGTCGAGGCCTCGAGGCCCTTCCCGGCCCTGGCCCAGCTGGCCGAGGTCGACGGCGTCGGGATCGGCTCCACCCTCATCGACCGCGGCTTCTTGGCCCTTGTCGCCTCCCGCCTGCGCCCCTTCCCGGAGCTGCAGAGCCAGCTGCCCCCCGGTTGTGCCCATAGGCTAGTGCGCAGCGAACGCTTCCGCATCATGAAGCACAAGTTTGGCGAGCGCGTGTACGCTTCCGAGGTGTACAAGCTCCCGTTGGAAGGGGTAGGCTACAACTTTGGTCATTCTGGCGCCGGCATAGAGTCTGGGCGCATGCTGTTCTCACGGTACGTCGAGCCTACCGCCCCTTGAACCAAGCTTTGACCCAAGCTCTCAACCGCCTCACAGGGATATGGCGACTGACAAGCACCTTCGGGCTGGGTTTACAGTGAGGAGATACAGTCCCTCTTTGACCCACACATCCAGAGCATGCTCAACAAGATCAGGGATCAACTGGACTGGGTGCATTCCAACTACCAATCGGCGCACATGGTTAGTTGTATTGCTTCCGGCTCACTCGCGCGTTTAGCCGCACAGCTAACCTTGGCCTAAAGAACTACATGGTCCTCTCCGGAGGGCTGGGTAGCTCCGCCTATGTTCGTGACACTCTCGAGAAGGAGCTGGCCAAGAGGCCACACCCATGCGCGCAGCAGATGCAGATCCTCCAGGCGCCAGACCCTCAACTTGTCGTCGTCAAGGGGCTCCTCCTCGACAGGATGCAGAAGCTGGACTCGGGATACAAGCCGGTTCTGGTGCAGCGGCGCGCCAGGGCAAACTATGGCTTGGTGTGCAAGATCAAGTACAACCCGGAGATTCACATTGACGAGGACATCAAGGAGGACCCGCTGGACGGGCAGAAATAGTGAGTGGAAACTTGTGGCGGATCTACCGACGCCCAGGTCAGAAAGGAGGCTAACTATCTGATTTTGGGTTGCTTCAGTGCGACTGGACAAATAGATTGGGTCATCAAAAAGGTGAGCTTTCGTTCCCAGACATTATTGCCAAGCGCAAAATGAATGCTTACACGCCTTGCTCCTATCCTCAAGGGCGACATGATCGATCCCAGCCACCCCCTGGCGTCGAGCTTCAGCCAAAAGATTGATGCCGAGAGCTCAGTTCGCGCCTGGGACGCCATAATAATGATCTGTAACAGCGACAGGGACAAGCTGCCCAAGAGCATCAAAGATGGTATGTTCCCTCCCCCTATCTCCAGATGACCAGCCCTGGAGACTCTGGAGTCGCAAGCTGACCAGGCCCCGACCACAAAACAGAGAGGGCAAAGCAGCTCTGCACGGTCAAGAGCGACCTCTCGGGCATTCCCATCGGCGAGCTCGAGATGAAGAAGCTGTCCCGCGGGAGGTTCAGGCGGAGCAAAAGGTTCTATGTTTGCAACTTTGACGTCCGCGTCATCGTCGCGCCGGCCGAAATCCGGTTCGAGCTATGGTTCAACGGCCACAAGTTTTCCGGCGACCACGACCCAATAGAAATAACTGTGAGTTTCTTTTTTATTATTCTTACAGTTCCGTTCTATTGGAGGCCCTGCGCACAGAGTGATCCACTCGTCTTGCTTGGTCTGCCGCTGACTGTTGAACCAACTCGCAGTGGGATCAAGAGGGCACACAACTTGGGAACCGATGAGACGTCGCGGTGCTTTAGTTCTGGGAAGAGTGCACATGAAGCACAAGACAACACATTCCACGTAGGCAGGCCAGTCCCATTATTTGGACGATAGAATCACGGCGTGATATAATAAGTAGTGGCCCAGAGCGCGCTAAGGCGTTGCAATCAGTCGAGGTGACTCGTATAGCGATCACCTCACCTAATGTTCCACAACTACCTACCTACCTACATATTGAGAAGATCTATCATGACTGTGTTGAACTTCTACTCCGCCAAAGCCAGTGGTGTTCTTCCGGCCCGATTAAAGACATACTTGTCAGCACGAAGCTCCACGACAAGAAGTCTGGCGACGGCCGTACGGTCGTCATTCAAGGCGGAATGTAATGGCCTACCTGTACGTTCCTATTAGCACTCTCACCACGTCCGCGTGGCCGCGCTCTCCCGCACAACGTAGCGGCGTGTTTCAATTGTTATTCCTGGCACGCTCTTTGGCTCTAAACAAGGCGAGCACCCTCATAACTTCGGTATGACCGTGCTCCGCCGCGAGGTGTAGCGGTGTCTCCTCATTGTAATCTTGGGCCCGTTTGTTGGCACCGAGCTCAGCAAGCGCTCTCACCGCGCCCACGTGGCCACGTGCCGCGGCCGAGTGTAGCGGCGTCTTCCGTTGACAGTCTTGGGCCTCTTTGTTCGCACCGAGCTCAACGAGCACTCTCACGACGTCCACGTGGCCGTTCGCCGCCGCAGAGTGCAGCGGTGTCTTCCCTTTGGAGTTTTGGGCCTCCTTGTCAGCACCAAGCTCGACGGCCAGCAGCCTTACGAGGGCCACATCCCCACGCTGCGCGGCATAATGCAATGGCCTCTGCCCATGTCCATCCCCGCGTTCCTTGTCGGAGCCCTCTTCCACGACCAGCAGCTTTATGATCTCGGCGTGGCCATGGTGCGTCGCAAGATGCAGCATCGTTCGTTCCTCCAGGTCGCAAGGCCCGGCATCGGCACCGTTCTCGATCAGCAGCCGGACAAGCGCCTCGGCCCCATTTCTGACGGCCCACTGCAGAGGCGTTTCGCCAGCTATGTCCCTCGTCTCAATGTTGACGTTGTTCTCGATCAGCAGCCGTCCGAGTACCTCGTGGCCACACCCGAAAGCCCAGTGCGGTAGGCTCAGGCAAGCCCTTTCGCTTCTGATTTTGATAGTGGCGCTTTCGCCACTGACAAGGAGCTCGTCAATTGCGTTCAGTGCCTTTTCGTCCTCCTGTCTCGAGCGGATGTGCTCCTGGCCGCCCGTGTCGTTCACCTTCCTCGCCGCTGCTCCGATATCGTAAATGTATATCGCCTTCTTCAGATGCTTCGTTGCCTCTTCATACTGCCTCAACGTGCTTAGCAGTAGATAAACGTCCCAGCATTTCACAGCCATGTCCAGGAAATGCGAGCACATGCACCCCGCAATCGAGCATCCGGGCACCCCTCGGTTGTTGAGGTAGTCCCTATAGCATTCGGCTGGCTTCTCCTCGGATCCCCCCCAATCCCAGACCAACAGAAATCTGGTTGGGAAGCTCGTTATGGAATCTGCCCACTGCGGCGACATGCTTGTCCGTGGAACTGCCGATAAGATGATGACTGAATAGCCATCGCGTAGCCTGATAATTGTGGGGGATGATGCACCTTTGAGGAGACACACAAAATCTCCTTTCTTGACGGTTATGGCTGACGCCCGGAAGGTTAAATCAGATGGGGTTAACTCCCCTTGGCCGTCTTGGTTGGACATGGGCATATTCCTCCAAGTGATCCGGACGTGTTGTTTGTCGGTGTGCGCCGAAATCACTTTACCCAGAAAGCGGCCGTCGGCTTCCACGACTGCCACCTCCTTCCCATCCCAGGTGATGACAGATGCCTGATAAGAGAGGCAGAAGTGCACAGCGTCCCGGAAGACGTCCTGCCATGAGATCGCGTAGCTAGCGGAAAGCCCTGCCGCGCCCGGATCGTCCGAGCTCATGCCCAGGAGGGCATAAACCTTGTCGCGAAGATCCGTCGCCTTGCGGTCCTTGTACATGTCCACCAATTCGCCCAACGGGCGGATGTTGAGGGACAATCGGGCGACCGGTCCAATTTCGGACCTGGGACGGAAGGCCGAATCCATGATGAGATAGGCGACGGAAGTTGCGAGATTACTTAGGGGCGAGGAGCCTAAGTACGGCGTCAATACGTCGATACCATGGCAGAAGGCATATCCCCCGATCTCCTTAGGGCCACACTTGAATAGGACATCTCGACCAGCAGCGACCTCTTGGAGAACCTAAACGCAGCGTATCAGTACCCCATTCACAAAAAGTGGTGTATTACAACTAACCCAAACTCGCTGGAACCATGGCCGTTGAAGTAGGTCCAGGATGGCCTTCTGGTCCGTATCGTTCGGGAGTGAAATAGTGGACTCCTCTTCAGCCTTGGCCAGTTGATCTGGTTCACAAGCCGGGCTTGTGTGATGATACCGGTGGGCGGCCATGCGTATTGCTTCAAGCGCTTCGGCACCATTGTCTGTTCCCTCTCCAAGCCAAACAATCACGCGGCTCGCCTTGGAATAGATTTTTGCCATGGACTGAACCTGCCGGTTCTTCTCGGCCGTGTCGTCCTGATTGATGCAGATAGCATCGACCCAGAGAACCCTTTCCAGAAAGCAGTGTCGAAGACTCGACAGGGCCGCGTACAGGTTCGCCGTGACGCGCCACTTCTTGCCGTCGATATAGATTGGATCTGCCGCCTCTTCATCACCCCAGGCGTACGATAGGGCCTCGTACGGATGGCTTGCTTCCGAGTCTAGCGCCGGAAAGGCGAGGAGCTCGCATTCGATTCGGGACCTCGCGTCAGGGCTTGGCAGAAGCCGAAGGAGTCGTACGCTGCCCTCAGGCAAAAAGGTGTAAGCGTGCGTTGTCGTATAGGTTGGGGCGACGGACCGCCGTGAGAGCGAAAAAGATGATGACATCCTCGATTACCGCGCGATGATAATCGAAGTCGATTGGAGTCTGAATTATTTGCGAGTGAAGATCAAAGTTTGAATCGAAGGTGGGATGCCTCACCAATGTTTTGCGTGCGTGCCCGAAGTTCACAGCCTGACCGGAACCAGAATGGCTGGCATTGATTGGATGAGCGGGCTTCTGGTAATCAGCCTCCGTTGGGCCTAAATGTGAACTAACCTGATACGTTCGCTCCTTGACCGATCAAAATATGGAATAACACGACACCTCTAGAACTTTCCCAGGGATTGAGCCTCAGGTGTGGCAGCGCTCCAGCTCTTTGATAACCGTGGACCAGAACTCATGCACGAAATCATGGTCATCGTCGTTGGCGCCGTCATCTACTATTGCTGCAGAGGGTGAGAAGGTTCCCTCGAGGCAGCGACGAACGGCCGACGCGTATATGGTGCCCATCTTGCTGGGGAGAGGCTTGCGGTAGCCTGCTAGCAAATGACGGCGGACGTCCTCTTCGTCCGCTACGTGCTTCCCAGTCCCATTCAGGTCCTCTCCGCAGATCTTGTCTACCGGCCGATTTCGAACAGGAGAGCCCTCAGGCGGTAAATTTCATTTCTGCGCGTGGACTCCTTGGCGGAGATTGGGATGGCGGTAAAAGTCCAGCTTGTCCGGCCCGTCGTCGTCGGGCCGTTCCATGGATGCCTCACCGGGCCTGTCGGGCCCCGCGTACGAGAATCCAATCAGGTACGGTAACGAGATTTGCTCCGTGCTGAGGGCGTCCGCGGTCTTGTTGCGGAAGAAAACGACGTTCTGGCTTCGGAAATTCTTGTGGAGCCCTTTGAGGAATGCAAAAGGAAAAGGCTCGAGACCCTCGTGGGGATTCCGGAAGACAAACCCGTCGTATCGGGTGCCGCCGTCTGGATTCTGGAGGAGGCCCAGGCAGGGCAGAATGCGGAACTCGGGTGTTTTGCGCTGCGCAGGGTGGTTGGACAGGAGCACGCGGGCTCGGTCCGGGTCGATGAACTGGCGGAGAGGGTGGCGAGGATGTGCCTTCACCGCAACCCGAACAAGCGCCTCGTTGCGGCAGCCGTAATGGCTGGATTCTACAGTGTAGCGAGCAGTCGTGGCCTTATTCGGAGTGGGATCTGGCCAGCTAGGCAACGGTACGCATTGGCCCAATCCCCAGTTGACTTCACGGCCCTGCTTTTGAACAGTTTGGTCGGGTTCTGGCTGGTAAGAGAACTTATTCGATTCCCACTGGCAGGCAGCACAAGGCTGCGGTCATGCAGCAGCTCGAGGAGCTGCGAAGGGACACTGGCGTAGGGAAACTGGAATATGGACGTTCGCTTGAAGTTGTCCATCCCATAGACCTCCTAGCGCAGTTCGGCCTGATGAGTGTATGTGCTTCTCTTTCAAGGACCCGACCAGCCTGTGCCACCCGTACAAGAAAGCCGACCATTCCGCGTGTAGCTGGCAAATCCTCGACTGGGACCCGACGTCGTCAACTTCGGACCCGGAATCTGGAAAGAACTGGAAGTCTGCCTTGTAGTTGCGTCCTCCGCCTTCATGGAGCAAAAGCCAATGCCTTTACTGGGACGAATCGTTCCTCAGCGGTACCTTCACTCTCGGTCAGTTACAGGATGCATTCCGCGACCCAGTGACAGTCAACGGAATCTACAGCCCCATGTCTTCGCCGGAACAATATTCGGCGTGTCTCGATCGAGACACGCTCGCAGCCAAGCAACTCCTTGTCTTCAAAATTTCCAGATGCCAAGGCCGGGTCGCGGATACTGCCACGCTGCTCGGCTTGACCGTACCGATCGGGCCAAGCTTTACGAAATTACACGAGGCAATGCTCAATCACGACTTGCCGTCGGTAAAGCATCTCGTGGATGAGGTTGGGCTGGGCATTGACCAATATTTCCTCGGGGCCGGGGAAGTCAATGATGGCGAAATCAAGACTCCCATCATGCTTGCATCATGGAATATGGATCTCGAGATCTTCCGGTTCCTGCTGGTGAGGGGAGCGGACTTGAGCCTGGTCACCAACCACGGGGCAAACGTCCTGCACTTTGTCACCAGCTTCCCCGATGAGGACGCCGCGGTATTGACGCCGCAGCTCGTGGCCCAAGATGTCTCCCTTGCCTCGTGCGCCCTGCCGCTCGGCCATATACACCTCGCTCGCTATCTGGTGAACCTTCACATACAGCGACGCGAGCCGGTCGGCGATATGAACCAGATCCTTGTGTTGGCGGTCAGCTGCTTCAGACACGTGCAGCTGGCCGCTCTTCCCAGCTTTGAGCATCTTGATCCAGCTGGGACCCCTGTGTCCGCCGCAGAGCTCGAGCAGCTACTTGAAGTGACCCTTCAGTGCCATCCGCGTTCGGTCACGTCATTTCTAGAGCTCGGCCCTGGCGCCGTCAGCGCGCAGACCATGACGATTCGGTGTATCCTGACGCATGGAATGCAGTACATGGGCTCTGAGTCGACGCTGGAAGGCTGCACTTGCACGACAAACTCCAGTTCCAGGGAGACATTACCGTGGCCCCTGAACTCCCCCATGGTTTGGCACAGTATTATTGTGTCTGATTCCGTCGCCGCTTTTGAATATCTTCTCTGTTTGTCCCAGAGCCTGGGAGCAACGGTCGACCATCTCCTCAACGACCCCGGGCTTTTCAACGGACAGGACTCCATCTTGCTTTCAGTCAGAGCCGATAGCCCGTTAGTCTTCAAGTATTTGATGGCGCTGGTTGACGGGGGGCAACTAAAAATGAACATCGCATCTGGCCCGAACGGTTCGCTCGACCTCTTCCACGCAGCCACCAGATGCTGCGACCACGCCGACTATATCGCCGAGCTAATCCGCAGAGATACCACGGGTAACCGCCGGCGCCGAGGCCGCGAGCAGCTCGAGTCCGCCGTCGGAAACGCCATCGGCGCTAATAACGACAAGGCAGCCGAGCTCTTCCTCGGCCTCAAGCTGCCAGGCGAGGACGACGCCCAAGTCACCAACGCCCTGACGTCGCTCGTCCTGCTCCGTCTCCAAGAAAGACGTCGAGGCCGTCGCGGCGCTCGGCCCGTCGGGCTTCTACTTCGACGTCGAAGAAACCGTGACGCCGCTCCACGGCCTCGCGTCCATACGCGCGGGGCAGACCCGCCCAGACATCTCGCACGCCGACCACCTCATCATCGGCGTGCTGCTGGGGGGCCATGTCGGCCGACATGCTCAACCTCCGCGACGCGGACGGGGGCGGCGACGCGGCGCTGCAGTACATGGTCATGGCGTGCGACGTCGAGGTGACCCCTTGTGATGCTGCAGCGCAACGGGGTGGACGCCGCGGTCGCCGTCGGGGAGCATGAGCGAGGACGAGGAGGAGCTCTTCGGCTTCCCTCGCGGCAGCACCCTGCTACGACATCTTTCTTTGCCCTGTGCGCGCGGGGCAGGTCCCGGGGGGGGGGGGGGNGGGGGGGG